TCCCACTGACATGGAACCCAAAAAGGCGGGTTCCACACAAGATTCCTCTGCTCGAGAAGAGCGACTCTTCGAAAGCGCCCGAGCACCTGCTGCTGCTGACCAGTGATATCGAGGCCAAGAGCCATCATATAGTGGTCTTCCTGGTTGACGTGTCTCTGTTCACATTGGGAAAGGCGTGCTGGGCCAGTCCACAGGCATGCGAAGCAAGCGAGAGACACGATCCGCAGAAGCTGCCGGAGAACATGATTTGGGATTCGAATCCCGTAATGGGATCTGCATCGCTGGCAGAACGCTGTCCGCCTGAAACATGAAACGAGAGGCCACATGTAAACGCAACCCAACCCTGACAGCCGCACATCTGACTGCCAATTAAAATAGGCAGTACATGGAGACGACTAAGCCAAGGATCGGACAAGTGACCATGCTGACCTGATGCTGACGGTTGATGAGTCTCCTGTGAGACTCCGGCAAGCAGGGTTAAACAAATGGAGTGCTTCAAGGCACCCAATTAATGGGCATGTATCGACAGGAGGCAGACCCCGCCAAGTGGCAACCGTATTGCTTTCCATGTAATGATCTTAATGTGATGCCTGCAAGACTCGGCAACGCGTTGCAACAAAAAACAACAATTCTTCACCATTGCGAACGTGAACGACCACACTGACATGCCCCAAGAAGCTGGATATCTGCCCCTGCATAGGAGCCAGCCGGCGTGAGCACTCAGCTCAGGCACTTGCAGTCAGAAGCAGCTGGCACTGGGCGAGTCTAACATGCAGCGTTCAGGTTTCAGGGTTGGGAACACTAAAAATAAATCTAACAATTTCCATCTGCCTCCTTTCCCGTCAAACGGCCTGAGGCTTCTAAAGTTCAAAACGTCACATTCTAGAAGCTTGACGCTCCATCTGCCTGGAAGCACCTGCCTACATCATGCGCAATGCTTGAACACACTTGTCTGCATCAAATTCGCCAAGCCTGCCAGTAAAACCTGCTAGAGCCCACGAAGCCAAATGTCTAGACCTCCCAGGACAACCGTGTATCACTCTCCTACAATACACTGCTATTGAGCAATGCTGCATACTTTGGCAGAAAACATTGTATCTGGCGCTTAGAAACGACGCCTCGGAGCACAAATCGCTGAAAGCCATGTTGAACGCTCTTGGAGACCTTGCGCACAACAGATCTGATCACTTGTGAACAACATATTGAAATTACTTTGGAATGAATTCTGACCGGCACTGATTCAGATCAACGTTTCTGCACGGCCTAGTGAGCACCGCCTCAAACAAACAAACAATCACGACATATGCGTGAGTCTACCGCAAGCAAACTTCACTGCAGCATCCAATTCTGCCTGAGTCCAAGATAGGGTTGTTCCTAAGCATGTCGCCTTTTGAACCATGTATGGCGTCCCTGGCGTTCCAACTAGAGCATGGCTTGCCCGACTCAAGTGACACTGTCCTCCCACATATATATTTCCGAATGAAGAGTCCTCAACCCCTGGATATAGACATCTCCAACTTTGAGGTCTCATCTGCTCGATACACCTGACATCTGAACTTGCTCAGATACGCCCGCACCTGACATCCAAAGACACACGAAGCTTTCGGAAGTCTCCGGAAGGCAGCAGTCATCATCGGTTGAACGGCTTCAAGCCACCGAATGGGCATGTGTCGAAAGGCAGAGGCAAAAAACCCTCCAAGTGGTACTAGTCTGACACCCACACGCAAATGAGTAGCGTGAAGGGAAGTCCTCTTCGAAAGCGCCCGAGCACCTGCCACTGACTCTGCCAAGGCTTGGGAACTGAAAGTTCAGTCGAAACAAGCAGAAACAGTGAGGCACTCCCCTTCTCCCAATCTGCGCATAAGGAAAAACATGAGCTCATGAGTGTGGATGTGATTTGGGACCGGTTGGAGTGCTTCAAGGCACCAAATGGACATGTGTCGAAACCAGGCAGAGACCCCTCAAAGTGGCAATTGCTTCGCATTGTTTTCCTTTATGTAGTTCTCCTAGTTTTGACACCCACACACAGATGCGTACGGTCTGCACGCGTGGGTCTCTTCCAAAGGAGTGCTCCGCCATTTCGGAAGGTTATCCACACCCTCTGACGTCGGGGTGTACCGCTCACCGTGCTATGCGGAGCGTGAAAAAAACTCGACGGACGATAGCGGGTCGGACATTGTTGCTGAAAAGAAGGATGCACCGTCGAATTGCCCACCACTGCACGCGCATGGAACTACACTCAAACAGCGCAGTTCACGATCTTTCTGGTGCTCCCTACGTCCGCTGCACACGTCTCACGGGATCAAAGGTCCATCACTCGGCTTACCACCTTGCGCTCGGGCCGCATGTTCTTCTCCCAGCGCCTACGTCACTTCCAGTTCAAAAACCACAAGCCAACTGGCCGCCAGCCTTGGTTGTCTCTGGAAGAGACGAGCTTCAGCCTTGGCCTGGCTGGAAATGACCCAAAAACATTGGCTTTTGGGGGGAAGAGAAACTCAAGGGCAAATGGCCACAAATCGAAGCATCCACTCCCCAGCTCCTGTGGTTTCGCCGCTTCCTCAGGCTTCAGTGAGCGAACACGCCTGGCCGGCCGTTGGAGTGAACGCCGTTGAGACATTTATTCAATTGCACTGAAGCTTCAGGGTTTCTAGTTTCAACCGAGGGTGTGCAACACCAAACTTCGGGTGCAGTGCGCTGCTCGAAAGCGTGACTGGTCACTTGGGCTGCAATGCGCTGCTGGCAAGCACGCGGTTTCAGAGTGCCGCTTGCCAAGGTTACAATGTAGCTGAGGCCAAGGCAACAAAAGAGCCTGCAGGTTCTGAAGCTGATTTTAGTTTTTGTTCGGGGGTCCATGCTGCTACATGGTTCAAATGAGAAGCTATTTCTGTCCACCTTTCACAACACCTCTGCTGGAGTGCGCACGGTCGTTGGCTCATTTTGCTTGCCACGGCTCTCTCACTATGTGCGTGGCAGCTTACAACAAAAACCGTGCCAAGCCTTCTCAGAACCTTTCCGCACATCACGGGGAAAAAAACGGCAACCGCCAAGCATTCCGGCAGACCGCGCCTGAGCCGGACTTGCTTTTCAAAATTGGAAGGCTCAGACTTCACAACTTCCATGAAGTCCTCCAAGACTCGAACCTGAGTCGGAGACCGGCGTTGCCCAAAACGCGATCCCGCACAGAATTCCCCAAACCCTTTCCAACATAAGGTCGGCCTGCAAGGCCTGAAGGTGCGCCAAGCGCTTGTTAGAGGGAAAGGTAAAGTCAAAGAGAAGAGGCCCCGACAAACTGCAAGTGGAAAGAAAAAGCAGAAAGGGAAGTCATAATAAAACCAATTCAACTCAGTCAGAGCTTTCATAGATTGGGAACGTTTTGTTGGTTGCGGCAAGGCGGAAGTGAACAAAGCATTCTTGGGGTCCCAAGTTGTGGAACGCGCAACCATGTGATGGAGATGGAACCTCTGACACCCGTAGATTGGGCAGTTCGGGACTGTGGGGGAGAGCAACGCCCCTTCCACCTGCATGGACTGCATTCCCTGCTTCTTTTCAGCTGAGCAGACTTGCCTTCAGAGGGCAAAATCGTGACATCAGCGTTTGTCCCGCAAGTGGCATTGCTGTTCCTGCTCTGCTAATAAAATCGCATGCTCGTCTCCGCACGCCAGGGGTCAGTCCGCAATCTCGGCTACGGCCCCAAATTCAAACGCACTCAGGTCCTGTTACTGAGCAGCTTCGCATGCTTTTGCAACCAGATCAGTTTCTACCTTCATGGGGAAAACAGTGTTGCCAGGTTAATATGGTTGACCTGGCAAAAGAGGAATGGGTCCGTCTTTATTTAGGGGACCCCCAAAATGGTCGTTGTCCTTTTGGATTTCCTTGAAAACCACCAAAAGGAGTGCCCCAAAAGAAGACACACCCATGTTGGCGTTGGAATCTGGGCACTCGCGCATAACGTTCGTGCATGCTGCGCTCCGGTGGCGCCCGCCGACCGAGCCCAGGGTCTCGTCCATTCCAGGATGATCGCGGGGTGACCTCGTGAATGGCCCAAGTCTGTGAGCCACCCTTGAGGCACCCGAATTGAAAGTTTGACATTAGGTGCCTTTCGAGAAATCCTAAGTCTTGAGCCCTGGCCAAGGTTTGGTGGAAGTTCAACACGTCTACCCCCTTCGGCTGCGCAGCTTGCAGGCATTTCTCGGGGCGCCCGTTCCCTTCGAGGAAACTGTGTCCGTCAGGGTTGCAAAAATTTCATGCCCAGCCCGTCCCCTGTCGGGAAACCAAGTGGATGCCTAAAGAACTGCAAATGGTCACTCCACGTTCAAAGTCTCTCAAGAGCACCCAGCCTGGTGCTCGAATGCCCCCTGAGCGGAGCGCACCTTGCAAAATTTGCATAGACGCAGCCGTCCATCTACCCATTTTGAGCCGCCGCCGGACCAGGACAAAAAAATCGCCAAAAGGATTTAAAACAGAGGCGAGCAAAACAAGTGTTTGTTTCCTGGTGAAAGACTCAAACAACTCGCTGACTACAGACGCAACATGTCCAGCTTCCGGCACCACTCCAGGTTGAGGTCGCTGATTGTAAACAACCTGCTCGACCTCGCGTCACAATCCCAACAGCTTGGAGTCGTTTTAGAGGCTTCAGCTGACCAGTTCAACATGGGATCCCCTTTCAGGGCCCCGTGACCTCGAAACAGCGAAACAGCAAAAGGCGGTCTCACCACGGGTCTCGGCTTGTATTGAGGCCAGAAAGGGGGGGCAAGCCGGGAAGCCCCTGACAATGAACAAGGGACTTGCAGGAGCGGTTTTTCACGCCTGCCTCCGTGCTGCTGTTGCAGCCCATGGCGCGCTCTCGAAAGCGGGCAACGGGCACTGAAACTTGAGCTCAGGCACACAGCACGCCATGCGCAAACCCTTGAGGTTCCTTGCACGCCGCAAAGAAAAGCAAACAGAAGAAACTGACACATCTCAAAAGTCTGTGACAAGCAGAACATATGCAACGGCGCGTTTCTGGCTCTCATTCTTTTCCGGCCCGGGTTGCGCAGCTGCCTCGCGCCTGAGAAATCATCGCAAGTGAAGAAAAAGCATCCCCAACTGGTGAAGTGACTCCTTCGAGCAGGGCAATCTCAGAGAGCTTAAGCCCTTTCACCTCCCGCAAGCCGAAAATTGCAAGGCCCGCGCCTCCGCTTCGCCTGGCGGCTCTGAGAAAACTGGGATGGTCAAAGGTTGCTATCCAGCATCCCGTTCCAGCTTTGCGGCTTCCACAAATGCTGCCAATTCGTGTTCTGCTAAGGGCAGCAACTCTGGGCCCTCACAAAAGGGGAGTGCCCAAAACCCGCTCGTCATGCAGATTTGCTCGGAGGGGGCCCGCCTCACGCAACGCTGAAAAACACATCGGCACATGAATTTGGGACCAGCTGCATGGCTGCATGCGCTTAGACGTCTAGCGCAGCCACCTCTCAGGCTGTGTCGGCTTAACTGCCAATCGGCTCGTCAACGGGTTGCATGGCATGCAGGTACCGCAGGCGCAGCTGACTTCACATCCCCCCGGCGCCTCCCTTTCGCCAGCTTCCGGAGCCTCTGGCCTGGGTCGTCCCATTCCATTGCCAAAGCTGAAGCTTCCCACTTGGACGGGAACAACTGGTCGAGCTGTCAACGGGCCCATCCCACCAACCCCTGGTCTTTTGAACAGTCGCCAGCCTGGCAAGCGAGGATAGCGCCCAACCTGACGGTGCAGTTTGAACAAAGCAAGGTCGTTTTCGAAGGTCGTTTTCTGCAGGTCTTCGGGCCCCTAAGACGATCCCTGATCGAATCCCCAGCCATTGTATCCCTCTTGGACACACGCATTTTCCCATTTTCTGGGCTGGGGGGTTCAACGATAGGCAGTGACCCTCGCGCACGGCGAGGGCAAGCGAGGCCTTTGGAGCGCAAAGACCTGGCAGGCCAAGTCCAACATGGATTCACCAAAAGCATGGAGGGGTACCAAGACAATTTTGACACGATATGGGTATGGATCAAAATCAAACCACCAGGGGACCGCAGGCTGTAGTCACTTTTCCATTTACCAGGGCTCTTTTTTGGGTACCTATTTTTGACCCACACCCATAGGTCGACCGCTTTTGATGGCTTAAGCATGGTCTCAAAAGGCTTCCTAAATTTTGGACGTGCCGGCTGTTGCGTCCCAACTCTGACGAGCTCCCTTTACGAAGGTTCCCCGGTGACACCTTGCGCCCGATCCATGATTCAATGATTTGACAAGGAGCCGAACAAATTTGTAACGGCGCGCGAAAAAGACTGGATCTGAAATGAGATTTCACCCACCTGAAATGAGAAAGAACCCAACGATTCATGGAGCTTGCAAACCCCAAGGTCGCTTGCCAAAAAAAAACAAACACTATCCCCAAGACCCCCCAACCTCCCTATGGGTGTGTCTCTTTCTAGGGGACCTCACAAAATGGTAGTTGCGATCTCCGCGTTTCTCTTCGTTTTGCAATCTCCAGGCGCCCGATGCATTCGTTGCCGCCTGCTGAGGCTTCTCAGGGGGTCTCGCCGCCCCTGAGCCTCCTGACCAGTGGCAAAGATGTTGGCTCCGAGAAAAAGAAAAAAACAATCCCACGAATTCAATGAACTTGGCTTTGTTGAGCCGCTGAGCCCCAAAAAAAGGCCTGAGCTGAAGCCCTTAGTCAATCGAGGTAAAGACCTGCGGCATACCGTGGCCTTCATTGTGGCAGCGTAGCGCTTTGCCACCGAATGACCTGGGCCACGGGCAACGGAACTGTCGGACCTCGACATGGCCCGGACAAGGAATCGCAGCGAGACACATTCGATAAAATGCAATCAAATGCACATGGGCTCTGAGAGTTTTGCTAATCCTTGTCTTGGCAAGACTTGCCAAAAGTTCGGAAACAAATCTGGGTTTGTGAACGGCAGGAACTGCATCCTGCGGACGGGTCAGCTTCACTTGTACCAAGGACCTTGGTACAACCTCTACTTGATGGCCATCGACCGGACCGATGAAGCGGAGTTCATCAATGGAGCTCTAGCCATTGCAACCTCTGGTTGAAGGAGAAAACCTGCTGCTTGATGTTCTTTCGGGTCCCCTTTCAAAAGGAACCAGCCGAACGGCCAAACCTGCAACCTTTGGCAAACGGACAGCCTGGCGACCCAGGCCAAAGCCAAAACAAGGCACCGGAGATCGCTTGACTTGAAAGCACCTGGGATCTAGGCCCAAAGGGCCAAGCCAACACACACCATGAAGCCAACAACAGTCTGCCGGGCACGGCCTGTGGCTAAATGGCAAAAAAGGCTGTCTCTCAGCTCGCAAGAAAGCTCAAACAAACTAGTTCAATATAATATTGTGCTCCTTGTGATAACGCCCTTGCTGGCAGGTAAGGCAGAGGGCAAACCTCACCACCCACCCACCCCGTTGCGGAGCCGGTGGTATGACCACGAACCCTGCACGAGGCGTTCGGCAAATGAGACTACTGCAATGCCATGCAGTAAACTTGGAGGGCAAAAAGTGAAAGAAAAGGGTGGCTAGGACACAGGGCAAAGGCAGTTGCCAAGCTGTCTACGGGCGGCGCCAGAAGACTTGGAACTGGCAATGACTGGGTGAGGCACTGAAGTTGATAGCCCAATCGTCCTCGCCAGAAACAAAATGGCAAGTTTACTTACAGCGGCATCCAGCAAATTTCGGCACAGAGCGCCACGCGGGTAGGAGCCAACACAGGAGGTATAGCAAACCAAGTAGAGCCCAACGCATAGGGCCGCCAAAGTGAGGTGAGGCGAGAGCTTGGAAACACCATGGAGCTTTCGGGGCATCGAAGATCAGGGCAGTGGAGCCTGAAGATAAGCCAGCACCTAAATGCCCTGACACGAAGATCTGACTTCGGACATGACAGGGCGACACACATGGGGACGGGCCGGTAATGCTAGAGCTGGCATGCCGCGGGCAGCCCTCGAGCAGCAATGGCTTAAACTTCTTGCTGGTTGAAAGGAACAATGAAGGAAACCCAAACAGGCAATGTAAATCAGGGTGGTGCTGTTGTCCCCCTTTTGGGGACACACTTCGCCCAAAATGAGACCCCAAGATTTCGGCCTGAAAACGCCTTATTTGGGCATGAATTTTAACTGGGGATCCTATCGTGAACATCATTTAGAGGATTTATGTTCAATTTGGAGGAACCCCAATCCATGAAATTTGTATTCGATCCCAACGCAAACAGTCACCGTCGCAATCGTGAGGGTTCCCGGCACCACTTCTGGGGATCGCCCGCCTGGCGATCGGAATCTGACGTGTCACTTGGACAACTTGATGTGGTGTCTACAAATCGGAGAAGCTTTTTGGGGTGTTCAAAAGCAAACCAAAAAGGACACCACCTACCTGGAGGGGTTCCCAACTTTGACAAACACCCATGTTGATACTGATTGACATGCTTCAGATTGACCAACATGGGTGTGGCTTTTGTTCAGGTTGGAGCACAAACAAGATGCCGGGTATTCTTGCGTCCTTTCCTTTAAAAAAAAAGTTCCAACAGAACTCTCCCCAAAAAGACCCCCCCCCCCCATGCCTTGGAAACCAAAGGTCGGTTGAGTTCTTTGGGGCACGGCGTGTACCTGAGCCCTTCGACCGGAAACGAAGGGCTCGAAGGCCTCGTCCACATGTGCCACCAGTGTCCCGGGCACAGTCAGCCTCGGAGCTGGCGTCTCATGTTTGTCCACAAAAAAGCCGCCAGGATCTGCCAGAAGACGTTGGTGTTGAAACCAGTCCAGTTGAAATCAAGATATAAACCTTCGGCTTTGAGCAATAAAGAGGCGAATCGACCAAGCAAACCACCAACTCAGGGAAAGCGGCACGAGCCAGACGAAACTACAAACGACCCTCTGGCCATGAGCGAAGAAATGCTAGTGCTGGTCCGCCAAAAGGTTAAGCGTTTAGCCAGTCCGTAGAGAAACGGTCTCTCAAGGTCAGAAGGATAAAGGTTCCACGCCGCGATGCAAGGGTGTGTCTTGAGGCACTCCCTGTGCCCTATCACTCAGGCTTCTCCTTTCAGGAGATAAACAACCCAGCGATGTGTCTCTGGAAGGCCAATTGTTTCTACCGAGTCAAATGTTTCACATTACACATCGAATACGTGTAAACAATTGTAAGGCCAGCGAAAAAGAAAAAAAACAAGCTCAGGTAATATCCCCAACAACATGCGGTGTTCTTTTTAGTGCTCGCACCACCCCGCAGCTCTCCGAACCCTCGTGGAACCCTCGTGGAACCCTCGTGGAACCCTGGTGGAACCTTACCTCAGGGCCGCCCCGGACCTATCTGGGCTGAGACCCCAAAGCTTTCAGCTGTTGGGGAAGACAAGCTCAGGTGATATCCCCAACAGCATGCGGCGTTCTTTGTAGTGCTCGCACCACCCCGCAGCTCTCGGAACCCTCGTGGAACCCTGGTGGAACCCTCGTGGAACCCTGGTGGAACCCTGGTGGAACCTTACCTCAGGGCCGCCCCGGACCACCCCAGAGCATATCTGGGCTGAGACCCCAAAGCTTCCAGCTGTTGGGGAAAAACTGTTGAGGCTCTCAGCGCGCGACTGCCCAAGTGCTGGCGCCTTTCGATCCAACTCCTCGGCGACCGTGCTCCGGGTTCCAGGGCTGTTGCTACTTCTGCTGATTTTCGTGGGAGGGGTTCGAACTAACCGCACGTACTCAAGTTGGGACCATCCCACGTAGGAAATGGTCGTCATAGCAAGCATGGCACATGGGGGAAGCGGTTTTCGAAATCATGGTGGCCTGTTTCCCAGACGTGGGATGTTCCAACAATTGCCTTGAGCTGATCGGCAAAACACCTGGTCTCCCAAAATCTAACGTTTGCAACTGGAGGCAATAGGACCAGAAACATGGTTCTGAAGTTGCGACATTGCAAGCTGGGCATTCAAAAGAGGGGGTGGGTCAGGTTTTGGGTTGGCTGAGGCTAGATGGAGACTTGGATCGCCGTGTAATTTTCGTATTGCCGGAGGACTCTACTACTCACAACCATCATGTTAAAATGAATCGACCCATTCAAAAGCGTAGCGGAACCAACCCCGATTGCGGTCCGGATTCATTCGAAGCTGGCAATTTAAGTGGTGCTCTTGAGTACCTTGAAACCAACGGTTCAAAGAGAAACCAAAAGGAAAGCAACCATTTTTGGGGGTCCAAATCCCAATTTTGACACATGCGGCAAATTCCTTTGGGAGCCCCGCAGCAAGTGCCTGGCTGTAGCGCTGGATGTTGTTGGACACCTCGCCCATTTTTAGACGTGTCCTCTCTTGAGCACAGGTCCCCAAAGGTGAAATCCGAGTCACATTGACAGCTGCATCAGAGGATCCCGACAAGCGGAGCCTTTCCAACCAGGCTCCTTCAACACTGACCAGACCTTTGGGTCCAAAAGTGATGGAAACTCGGCCCAGGAAAACACCACGCCTCGTCTTTGGTATCCTCCAGCTTCGCAATATGGTGCAAGGCTTCCTGGATTGCGGCCTGCGTTCCGATCGTTCCGAAATTGACCCATGGCCCAGGGTTGCAAATGATCCGTTGCTTTTGCCAAAAAAAAAACGGGGCCCTCCATCGGGCTCAACATCCTGCTCGACGCACCTCGCCTGAACTTGGCGAATGCCGGCTGCCATGTTTCCCCGCGCGGCCAGTGATCGGGCGCAAGGTAAGCAACGCAAGTAAAGTAAAGTATTGGAACCTCTTTCAGGCGTATCGGGAATGCATGTTTAATGCACAGAGGGACTCGCAAGGCCTGCCCTATTCCTTCTTGCAACAGAACAACAACATTTGCATCTTTGGAGAGGACTCTTACAGTTCCTGTCAACCATAGCGGACCAAGTTCAGACTCAATGCTACGCCACTGCGTCAAAATCTCATGTCAAGCGCCTTCTTTGTGGACTTAGCCATGCCTTCCACCATTCATATCTCTCTCAGCACTAGATATGCTAATGACTGGTCCTCATTGGCTTTCCTTTAAAGTCCCCAAATGGCTCCTGAAATTTCACCAGGGTGACGTGATTTGCTCGACCGCTGGATTTCGCTGAGATCCGGCGCAGCGATCGAGGGCCGTGCTGTCTCTGAATGCTTCGGAGTGACTCAGCTTGGCTTTAAGCAAACAGATGCATCTCAAAATCTGCACATCACTCCTTCAGACTTCTGTTCAAGAGGCAGATGCTTGCTCGCCTCCTTTCCTGTACCTTCTACACTGTCTCCATCTCATGGCTAGGATATGACTGCCATCGAAAGAAAACAAGACGGATGGCTTGGGATCAAATGCTTGTGCTAGATCGGAAGTCTTTCAGAACCACTTCCATGATTGGTGCTTCGTGGCTGATAAACCAATCCACCCAACATATGGGGGTTGCTGCATAAAGGGCATATACTCCATTGACATGCTGAAATGTGTATTTCCACCATATAATTGCAACGAGCCGGCAAACTTTCCAGCGCGATTCCTGAGTTGATGCGACAAAAACCCTGGAAGCGTTCCATTTCGCAGACATGGTCTCCATCGAGGCGACTTTCAGCATAAGGTGTGACGCCACATTTCGCAGACATGGTCTCCATCGAGGCGACTTTCAGCATAAGGTGTGACGCCACACTGGGATACCGATTCGAAAGCTCTCACACCGCCTGATCTTTGGGGGTCGATCATCGCCAACTTGGGCGTCAAGCTCAAGCTTGTCAAGCGTCCCCTTCCCCAAAAAAAACCTGAGGAACCCGAGATGTTCCTGTTGCCGGTGAAAACGAATTGGCCCGCCGGACAAACCCACTGCTCACCAGGTGGGATATCCCGCGACTCAGGCGAATGGGCCTTGGGCGGAGAACCAAAAACAACCCAGGGAAAAGTGGCCCTGGTATTCTAGGAGACCCTTTTTGGGGGCTGAGCCGTGGTTCTCTATGGAGGAACAAACCACAGGCGCAGGTGCATATGCTGCATGCCAATTTGAAGCATGCGGCTAGGCAGAGAAGCAGTCAGATCCAGTAAAAAAGGGCAAGGGGCCACTAAGCATACCTTTTTGCCGGGAGGTCCACCCCAAATTCCCTACACATCCATCCTAGAAGCCGAGAGCCACTTCGTTCTTCGGCGATTTCGGGAACTGCTCATACCCTCTCAATCCTTGGCACCCAAGCACAACGCCTTGTGCTTTCGACTCCCACAAAATATATATACAGAACTCCAAAGCAAACAACGAAAGCACTAGGCAGCATCCACTCGAACCAGCAAACTTGAGGCAATGCAGCCAAGGATTCATGCGACTTGCGCAGGCTGACGTGAGTACCTACCTCCTCTGTCTCAAGTGCTGCCCAACTGGGCCAACATGCAGTTGGTCGCCCTTGCCGCAAACAATCACCGACCTGCATGAAGAGATCACGGGCTCCGAGCTCGGCTTGTTTTACGCCAGCTTTTCGCTCGCCACTGTGGGCGCAGACCTGAGCAGGCACTGGCGGTGCAAAATCCTTCGACTGCTTAGCAGTTGCCCTTAGTCGTGCGATGCTCCACGCCATCTGCAAAAAGAAGCCCTCAAAGCTATCAAGATATCTTCTTGCTGATTTCGCTGTGAGGGTTGTCGATGTTCTTGTGCACAATGACATAGCTGCCATCTGCGATCTCCGTAGTGTACGTCCAATCTTTGAACTTCTTGCTCGTGGCTTCGTCTGCCAGGGAGGTGTGACAGGCATCTTCCACCAGCTTCACTGGGATAGTTGAGCCAGAATCCTTACCATATTTTGCCATGCACAGGTCATAGATTTGTGCCACCTGGCCATGCATCAACATGGGAACCCCGTGCTTGCGGGCCAGGGATTGCCCCAGCTCAATATCCTTGGCCATCATCTCGGAGGTGAAGTCAGGGTAGTACGTCCCATCCATGACCCGCGCAAACTCCGTCTCCCAGCAAAAGGAGTTCCCCGAACTAATGCGCATGGCGTCAAAAAGCAGCTTCATGTCCACCCCACTCTTCTTGGCAATCATCATCACCTGAGCAACCCTCTTGGTTCCGTATGACGTCACCCTCTCACTCATTGCCCCTCCTAAACGCAGGAGCAAAGGAATCCCCGTACAAAAAATGCCTCAGCCCTGCATTTGAGCCCGGCTCGCCTTGCGAACATCTTTCGGCATAGCAACCTTGACAGTGCCTGTCTAACTCTCTGAAACAGGCATTATGAAAAATGTGCTCCAAATCTTACCCTGGATTCGCATAGAACCTCAAAAACCGGCTGTCGAGCTTCGAATCTCCATTTGGGGGACACGGTCTTTTTTCACAGGCGCCCCATGTTTGAACAAGCGCCTCGCCCATGGCACAGTCTTGCACCGCGCAAAGCATATTCCTCAGCTGCTCCAAAAAAAGGTCGCTCCTCTTTTGGGGTTGCTTTCAAAGTAACGCCCTTCCCCAGCAGACAACCCGGGGGTCCACACCGCGAGTTGCTTTCGGGGTGTCAGAAGGCTTATCTCGGGCCCCAGATTGCATTGGGAACCTTAGGCTAATTGAGAAATAACATGTGCCAGGATTCGTTAAGATCTTCACCACAGTCTCGTGGCCAAACTCGCCGCATCGGATGATGCGCGGTGCGGAGAGGGAGATCAAAGGCTTCACCTCTCAGGCGGAAAACTGCTGCCCAACACACACCGAGTTCCTCAAACATGTTCCGAACGGGGTGGTGTGCCGGGGAGGTCTTTAAACAAACCGACGGGTCCTGGTGAATGAAAAATGGACCAATCTGAAATCTATCATGTTTTGACCAAACTGATCCAAAGGGACACTATGATGCTAAACTGCCACTAAGGGTGCTTGTGTGTTTGTGTTTGTGTTTGTGTTTGTGTGTTTTCACACAAACACAAACATAAACACACTTACTGGCAAATTAGGAATTGAGTGTCTTTATCCGTGTGTCTCTGTGTGTGTCTGTGTGTGTGTGTCTGTGTGTGTGTGTGTTTGTCTGTGCGTGTGTGTGTGTGTGTGCTTCTGTGTCTCTAGGTATGATGTTGTGTGTCTCTCTGTGTGTGTCTGTGCGTGTGTGTCGTGTGTGCTGTGTGCTGTGCGCTGTGTGCTGTGTGCTGTGTGCTGTGTGCTGTGTGTCGTGTGTCGTGTGTCGTGTGTCGTGTGTCGTGTGTCGCGCGTCGTGCGTCGCGCGTCGCGCGTCGCGCGTCGCGCGTAGGGCGTCGCGCGTCGCGCGTCGCGCGTCGCGCGTCGTCGTCGTGCGTCGCGCGTCGTGCGTCGTGCGTCGTGTCGTCGTGCGTCGTGCGTCGTGCGTCGTGCGTCGTGCGTCGTGCGTCGTGCGTCGTGCGTCGTGCGTCGTGCGTCGTGCGTCGTGCGTCGTGCGTCGTGCGTCGTGGGTCGTGGGTCGTGGGTCGTGGGTCGTGAGTCGTGAGTCGTGAGTCGTGTGTCGTGTGTCGTGTGTCGTGTGTCGTGTGTCGTGTGTCGTGTGTCGTGTGTCGTGTGTCGTGTGTCGTGTGTCGTGTGTCGTGTGTCGTGTGTCGTGTGTCGGTGTGTGGTGTGTTGGTTTGTGGTGTGTTGGTGTGTGGTGTGTTGGTGTGTGGTGTGTTGGTGTGTGGTGTGTTGGTGAGTGGTGTGTTGGTGTGTTGGTGTGTTGGTGTGTCTGGTGTGTTGGTGTGTTGGTGTGTTGGTGTGTGTGATGGTGTGTGTGTGTGTGGGTGTGGGTGTGTTGGTGTGTGTGGTGTGTTGGTGTGTTGGTGTGTTGGTGAGTGTGTGATGGTGTGTGTGTGTGTGGGTGTGGGTGTGTGTATAGGTATGTTTGTCTAGTTGTGTGTGTGTGCGTGTGTTGCCCGGGTGCGAGTGTGTTGTTTGTGTTGTGAGTGTCTCTGTGTGCGTGTGTCTCTGCGTTTGTGTGTTGTTTGCCTTGTGTGTGTGTGTTATGCGTTTGTTTTGTGTCCGTGCGTTGTGTGCGTGATGGGTGTGCGTAATGTGTGTGTGTGTGCGTGTGTGTGTGCGTTTTGTGTGTGTGGTGTCTTGTGTGTGTGTGTTGTGTGTATAGGTATGTTTGTCTAGTTGTGTGTGTGCGCGTGTCTGTGGGTCTGTCTTCTTCTTGAATATCAATTGCCGCACTGCATCCTGCATCATGTCTAAAATACTGGTGAAACAGAATTTCGATGATGAACAACCTAGAGGTAAACACCAGTCATAAGTACTAACCCAACCATTTTGTTGTTGGCTTTGATCTGCTAACCCCAAGCATTGGTTGCATGCCTTGCATCCAATCGGTGAGACCTTCGATCCTTTTCGATCGAAAATCCACCTGTTGGAAGGTCTCCTCGTCGGCGCCCACCAGCGCCACCATCTTCCCAACCTTCAAAATCTGCATGCCCCCCGTCACCGGGGCGGCCACCGCCTCGCAAGAAAAACCCGAACGACAAGCTAAGCGCTGCACGAGGCGAAGGCTTTTCAAGGTCAGGCGAAGGGAGCAAGCGGTCCATAGTCTTCACGGCACAATAGGACAAAAGCAAACACCAGCGAGCGTGTGAGGAGCAACCTCCATGCATGTAACAATGACCGTTGTTCATGTGAGGTACAGCTCCCGAATCGGGGAAACAACAGCAGGATCCTGTGACTGCTGTTGTCAATCCATCTCTTGTGTTTCTGACAGCACGGATCATGTTCCATCATATCACATCCTGTCAACTGAGAAGCGCCTGACCCTGTTCCGACGCGACTCTACAAGTTTTGCACTTTCAGTTTTATTCATCTATATATGTATATATGTGTAGATTCAACCCGCTTTCTCGGCCGCGCCTTGCAGCCTCTTTTCTCGACCTCAGCCCGGATCTTGTTGGTATTCTCAAAGTCTGTGGTGGAATGCTCGATCCAAACCGTGCCCGGCTGAAGCCCGGCAAGAATGCCTCGGTGCACGCAAGAAAATTGGGAAGGACTATGACCTCATCGGTACCCCCAAACAAAGGGCCCCACGTTCCACTCCTTCTGAAGTGCCTTCCATTCAGGAGGCTCACACTGCAAATGGGCCAAAGTAAGAGCCGCACATGAGCCAGGGACGGCATGCTTGACTCGAAGGGACAAAAGAAATCTGAGCAATACTCATGCAAATATCTGGTTCCAGTGGGACGTCCCGAACCAAGCAAAGAATCATGAGCAGCTGGCCTCAGTGCCAACATGTTTTTTCTTGGTGAACAAGCCATCATAGAGTTGTCTGTTGTTCCTTTTGGTGCGACTCGCCCACATCATCAAGGCCCCTGCACTGTTTGGGTTTGTTTCAAGCTGGACCAAAGGGAACCACGGAACAACCCTGTCATGCGGGAATCTTCGAAGGCTCTGACGGTGTTCTTAGACCTTCCCGTATGAAGCCGAGCAGTGAAAACTGGTTTTGAGCTGCTGACACCCCTCCCGAGGCGCCGTCCGGGCCGACGCCGCTGGCGGTCAAGCCCATGGCCGCCGACACATCGGTCGGTCTTGGCAGGCCAGTCAGCACCACATCGCCTCACATTCACACGTCAGAGCCTCTATCCTCACAGCTCTGCCACGAAGAAAGGGGGCATCTGTGAATAATTGAGTACATAAAAGAACACAAACACACGCGAACACACACACACACACAGACACACACACACACAGACACAGACACACACACACAGACACAGACACAGACACAGACACAGACACAGACACAGACACAGACACACAGACACACAGACACACAGACACACAGACACACACACACACAGACACACAGACACAGACACACAGACACACAGACACAGACACACACACACACACACACACACACACACACACACAGACACACACACACACAGACACACAGACAGACAGACAGACAGACAGACAGACAGACAGACAGACAGACAGACAGACAGACAGACAGACAGACAGACAGACAGACAGACAGACAGACAGACAGACAGACAGACAGACAGACAGACAGACAGACAGACAGACACACAGACAGACAGACAGACAGACAGACAGACAGACAGACAGACAGACAGACAGACAGACAGACAGACAGACAGACAGACAGACAGACACAGACAGACACAGACACAGACACAGACACAGACACAGACACACACAGACACACACACAGACAGACAGACACAGACAGACAGACAGACAGACAGAGCACGCAGACGCAGACGCAGACGCAGACGCAGACACAGACACAGACACAGACACAGACACAGACACAGACACAGACACAGACACAGACACAGACACAGACACAGACACACACACACACACAGACACACACACAGACACACACACACACACAAGTAACAAACAATCCTGCTAAGCAGCTAAAGTATGAGTAAATCAAATGAACACGTCCGTTCCCAATCCCTTTGGCTTCAGCACCAGTCCATGAGGTCAACACTCCTTGTTTCTTTTGTCATGGCCATGGTTCCCCGAATTGAAGCACTTACACTCGTCTCAAGTCAACAGACTGATGACTGTGCTTTCACAATGGCGCTTTCACGGTTGGCTCTGCATCTGGGTGGCACTTCTCTGCCAGGGCCTTTCCAGAGGATGCCCACACAGCTCCCTGATCCAGAAGTTTGCTGGCACTCGATTCTCCCTTCACCTCAGCGCATGAGGGAAATCACAAAATCAAACTAAGAATGAATCGAGTGTGCGCTGTCGCACAGGGGGTCTGTCTGTGGCAAGTATGTCATTGTGATGGCCGAAGCATGGCCTCATCTTCAAGTGCATGGTTGAGACACACAGGACACAAATAGATGGCTCAATGCCATGTCGAGAAGCGTCGTAGATGACAGGAGCCAGCCCAGCTCGCAGCAAGTTTCCAACAACCTCAGGCGGGCCCCAAAGAACCATAGAATACGTTAATGAATGACTCGGAATGTTAGTTGCTCATGGAACCTTAGAGAAAAAGAACGTTCTCAAACCATGATGTTTGCTTCTGAACCTCTCCACCTGCATTGCGCTTCGGCTACTGCCACTCGACGATACGCAGAAACCTTGCTGTCCCGTCTGGTCCGTGGATAAGAAGAGCACGCAAAATGCAAAGGGCAAGCTGTTAGGGGATTCAGCCAATCAGTCTGGCTCGGTTGAATCAATGCCTTAATGCTATTAAGTAGTATTTCACTTGCAAAGGGCCCGGAAATCGAAGAACCAACTCAAGGTGTCCAGAACCACGCTCAAGGTGTCAAGGTAGCCATCCCTGATTAATCGTCCTTAAGTTCAATTAGCGCCGTCCGCAAGAAAGCCCTCCCCACCAAACAGGGACCCCGTTCATATCGGGCAAGCATATGTTCTAGGGGTCAACAAAATAAAGGTGAAAGGGCTTCCTGAACTTGGCATGATGTTTGATGTACGCCTCTTTCCATTTAATCAAGCATGGCATCCCCTTCGGCACGAGGAAAAGGAAAATATGGGAAACCCGCCGCGGCAGTTCACTCCCAGCAACTGAGTTCTTCACCTTGCTTCTGTTGGGAAACCAACCCGATTTAACCGCCAGGGTTGGGCCATGTTGTTTCAAACATGTTGAAACCACGATTGCTCAAGCAACGTCCTTGTTTCCCTTTGAAGGGTGGGTGGGGGCTGGTTGGTGACGCACGTGTTGCTCAACCCGCTGCCCAACCCAGCGTCCCTGTGGCACATGTTTTAAAGGGGAGCCCCCAAACTGGCGGTTCCCTTTTTTGGGGCTTCCTTTAAAACCACCCAACACAAAAGTAAATACCCTCACAAAAGGACACCCCCATTTCGCTCAACTCCGGGGTGTAGGACCGGACTCTTCCCGCACCCCCTCACGGGGTCTCCGGTTGCTGAGCGGCTGCTTGGCCCAGCTGGCCCAGGCCGATCATCCCCACGCGGCCCGGCCGCGGCCAGTCCTCGCTTGGGCATGGCGGACCTGTTTGCGTCGTTTCAGGAGTCTGTGGCAAAAGCTAGCCCGGAGAAAAACGAGAAAAGAAAAAACACGTGGAACACGCCTCATCCTGAAAAAAATGGCCCTCCGATTCGAACCCGGACCCAAAATGATGGCTTCCGAAACCAAGGATGCGAAACCTGTCAAGGTCACGGGCTATAGAGGTGCCAAGGGTCCCTCAAAAGCACGCCATGTAAACTCTAGCCTGCACCTGAAACCTGGCAACTGCGTGCCTGTGAACAACCAGTCCGAGCAAGGAATGGATGCCGAATCAAACAAACAGAAACAGGAGAGCCTGAAGCTTCAAGCTTTCCCACCGTCCACTCGCATTAGTACAAGGAATCTATGTAACCCCTTTTGGAGCCGAATCGTTTCACCTTCCCCTGCCAGCTCTCGGAATCTCTTGCCAGAAGGCAATGGATGTGCTCGAAAAGCGAGCGTGAGCATGCATTCTGAGCGCCGTGAGGCGGATGCCGCGCTGTACATGCATCCTGTCCTAGTCCCTATTTGTTTTTCGGCACCCACGTCTGAGCCCAAATGGCTCTAGCGTGTGCTTCAACGGTCTGGCCCTTCTCCTTCCTGTGAGGTTGTCTAAAATACCTGCCCCGGTGGCGTTGCGCGGTCCCATGTTCAGCCTTACATAGTGGCAACATTCCGAGAGCTAAAGGGTAGCCCGAACAAGATGGAAGTGCGCAGGAACCCTCGCAAAAAGACTTGGGTCATCTTCCGCTGTCCGTGCGCTGAAGAGTGGGAGGTCAAAAACGATACGTCAGCTTCAGCTGAGAGCACGGCGCGAACCGCCAAAGCGGGCAATTGCCATGGCCGCAGCGGCTGGCCAGTGGCTCCACCGTGTGTCGGCTTCATATTTTTTCAGGCTACCAGAAGAACCCCGTTGAACGAGAAAGCCTTTCCGAGGCTTGAAACAAAATCCTCAGGTCAGGAAGTTGTGTTCTTTTGGAGCACTCTCGGTGCAACTTCCACCTTGAGTTGGCTGGCCCAAACGCCCAGAAAAAACGGGACAGCGCAAACCCATGGAACCAGAAGCCAAAGCAGCGGCCTGGCCGGCACATGTCTCTGACGCCAGGCGAATCCGAAGCTGCAAAAAGTTGACGTTTCACGATGGCAGGCAGAAAGGGAAAATGGCGGAAAACCAAAGGGTCAAAATGAAGAAAAGGCCAGGTGCGTCCTTCGAGCCAGCCCAGCTTGCCCATGTTTCAGCAAACCCAAGCGCCCAAGAAGCAAACACGAAGGTTCACACAGGTGCTTTCTTGCGTGATCCTCGCGCATCTCCGTCACGCACCTAGTCTATGCCACCTCTTTTGAGGTGGTGAGCGATTGTTTGGATGAATTCGCCGGCACGTCCTATGCTCTACACATGCAGTCACATGAGCAGCGCTCAAAGGATACTTATAGGTTTCAATGGCTAGATGGTGCACAACTAACCCCCCAGAAAACCCTTTTCTCCAGCTTGGCCAACTGAGGTTGTGCACTCGCTCAAGATTGAATTCCATGCGTTCCGAGGTGAAGGGCATCTGCCCAGAATGGTTCATGCCTTTGCCTGCACCGTCACACTCAGCTCACCCCGCTTTTTGCTGAACCTCGTCCAAACTCAAGGAGGGAGTGTTGAGGCCAAGTGAGGCACAAGCAAGACCTGGGGGATTCTGCCGCACCCAACCACATGCCAAGAATCATCAGGCCACTATCCCCGAACTTGATTTACCGATCTTGACTATGATTCAAATATCTTCCGTCTCGCGCTGTTTGTTCATGTCTTTTCTTCGAGGATTTCCCGCAGTGCGGCGGCGGCCGCGTCGATCTCATCTTCTGTGTTGTAGTAGGACGGGCTCAGCCGTACCACCGGGGGCTCCTCACTTGGAGCCCGTGGGAAAACGGTTGGATTGACCCTTGATGCACCATAGCCCTTGATTGGTGGGAGAACTCTACATGCGCAGGCAAGGCAAGCACCAGAGGGATCCACCCGCTGAAGCGGGAACCCAGGCAACTTGCCTTAAAAGCCGTCCATGTAGCCCTTTCCGCCTGGAATCCTTCTATTGGAGAAAAGACGGTCCGTGAAAGCTTGCAACGTTGACCCGGGGGCTTCTTGATCAACACGGACGACCAAAGCGCGATCCCGAAGGAGAGTCATTTGGGTCCAAAAACTAATGCTACTGGTTCCAATGACCCAAACGTGAAATCTGGGCAAACTGGGCACATAAGGAGACACCCTCAAGCTTACCCTGTAAATGGTGATTTCAGGGAAACCACCCCCCAAAAGGAATTCTGAGAACCCCTCAACATGGTTTCCCTTTAGCGCACCTGTTGCTTTTGTGGATGGCCCAACAAGTGTCAACTTTGTACCACTGAAAAAGTCCCAGAAGATATGGTTCACTTCAGCACCTCTTGTGTATGGCAGCGCATGGGATTACTCTGGCAAGCGACAACACACCTACCCAACCTCAAGTCAAACTCGTTGGAAGTGAAGGGACTTCCAAATGGTCCTTCCAGTCGCTCTCGTTGAAGCTGTGGATTCTCGGCGACACAGACACCGCGATCCGGCGCGCTGCCAGAGCTTCCTTGATCTCCTCTCAAGGAATCGGCCGTTGCGGCAACGGTATCCTGTTGGTGTCCAAAAAGATAAACCCGCTAAAGCCCAAATAGTGCGTCTCATCTTATAGTTGATTTTCCTTTGAATACCAACCAAACGGGGGCCGAATTCCTTTTTGAAAAACCCTCTCTCCTTAACGGCCTGGCTGCCATATTAGTGGAAGGGAGGTTCAAATGGAGAATCAAAGGATAAACCAAATCTTTGAGGGTGTCATTCTCAGACAAACTTTCTATTCATCAACACAAACACCCCTTAAGTCAAAATGGACACAACAATTTCTCCCACCCGCAATTCATCCTGCGCTCTCACTTGTGGGCCTTGCTCTCCTCCCTCCCCACTTTAAGGAATCGGACCCCCCAAAATAGGAGCAACGGTGTTGGTTTTGCCTTTGATTCCAACAAAAAGGGGTATCCCCTCAAAAAAAGGGAAAAAAAAAAGAGTAATGATTTCACCCTCACTCCCCTTCGTCCTGCGCCGGGCGTGTTGCCGCAAAGGTCACGATGGCTGCCCGGCTCTCCGGCTCAGCCTCCGCGTCACAGCAGGTCAGCCCCATGTCCTGGGACCGAGTTCGGAGCTCGGTGAGCTTAGGGGAAGGCACCTTCAAAAGAGGGGATCCAAATTCCCGCCATTAAAACCACAAGAGGACCTGGGATGCGATGCTGTACCACCATGGCAGAGCGAGCGTGCCTGGCCTTCGATGAAAAAAACGAAGAAGAACAACGCAAGGTGAGGAGCAAGAAGTTCCAAAACCCCGGGGCCAGTCCACCCCCAGACTTCCAAACTCCCCGCCTGCAAGCGGCCCCGGAGACGGCGGGCCAACATTGTGGCACGCTCCCAGATTCGCTCTGGGCCGATGCTGCTGCCTAAGCCAGCGAGACGCATGGATCCCTGTGGCCTAGGTTTGTCTCATGGGCTACCCCAAAATGGGGTTCCTTTTGAAGCAACCCCAAGAAGTCACCTTTCAAACTAACTTGCAGGGGTCTGGATCCGCTTTGCCACCCGTAGATGAAAAATGCATGTACTTGTTCGCTGAGGGTAAAGTACGACTTGTAGAAATCTCCAAGTCCAGTGAACAGATCTGGGGCCCGAGGCCTGTAAAATACATGGCTAATGCTGGCCACCCTGGCCACTGAAGCAGTTGCTTGACTCGTGGCACTGGCCGCGGGGCAAATGTCAAGGTAAAAAAGGATAAGTACTCAAAACAATCCCACTGTTTGACATAGTTTGGCCCTGGTTTTGACCCATCTCACCCATCTTGGTCCCAGTTGGTTGGAACCCATTTGGTCCTAGCTTGGTCTCCCTCCGGATACTGCAGCTCAAACCGTCTTGGTTGAGTTGCTCATTCTGGTACTTTGTTCCTGACATACTTTGGCGTACCTTTCGGGGGTGTCAGCCTACTATCACAGCGTTCTGGACTGCATCGCGTACTTAATGACTACCCGGGACGGGAAACACTTCGCACCGGTTGGTAGGTGTTCATCCAAGTATTCATAGGGTGTTATCAATCCTAACTGGTGCAGGAGTTTGTCCATCATTTGCCACAGCTTGGCCTAGCAATGCGAAAGCAACAGTTCAATCAGCTGTTCCGCAAGAATGCGGGTCGCGTCTCTTGGTCTGTGCATGTGCCCCACACAAGTTTGTCACACCGAACACATCTGCGTAGGACTGAAACGACTAAATCACCAGAGTCGCCGACTAGGACCGAAACCTTTGGCGCCCGGCGGCACTACAGATGATATCATTATTTGATGCACCCTCCGATTTAGAGGTTCGACATTTAGGTGCCATGATATGCAAAGGGCATTGCAACATATCCTGACTTGCCCAGTGGCCATTGGCAAGAGGGTGCCTAGTTTATCATATTTTCCGGCAGGAAAGTAGCGCAAGAAATCCACCCAAGGTGAGGACACCCATTCTCACGAGCTTTCAATTGGTAGCGGCGCATGGTTTCACTCTGGGGCAACCATCTCATTGGCACTTCACCAAAGACCTCATCAATCAAATACCTTACCAGCCAATTGAATAACATGCGCGACCTCTCCGCCGATCTGCAACATGCGTATTTTACTCAAGGCTAGTTTGAGTGAGATTAGTTTCGACCCAACACCCATCCCACAGCACGCTTTGTTCCAACCCAACGTGGGCGGGTGAAAACCCCCTTTCATGCACCCACTTGTCTTGCTTCCAATCCTTCTTCCATCCATTCACCTGCACAGAACCAACCATTCGCCTTCGGTGGTGAAACAGCCCTTTGGACACCTGACTGGATGTTGCAGAAGACCCGAAAATATTCATTTCCATACACCCTATAAATACCCATAAAATACCAAACAATATACATAAAATACCAAGCATACCCGTACGGCCGGTACACTAACAAGAAAAACAAAAAAGCAAAACATCCACTCCTAAAAACACAAAAACATAGCCATACAATACCAACAAAACACGTAAAAAGAAAAAAGGCCAGCCAAACCCATAGAATGCCGAAGATGGCCATAAGGTACAACGACCTCACACCTGAAATTCTCGAAACATTGGATCCCGCCCGCGGATTCCTTTTGGGCGCCGCGCAGAGCTGCAGTGCTGCGGCCAGCCCGGCGTGCAGCGCAGGGCTGGTCTCCCACATCTCCTGAACCGCGAGGGCATGAGTCCAATCCAAGCCAAGGGATGACTTGTGAAACAAGAAGAGAAAGGTGAGGTGACTCTTCGAGATAGCTTCCATCTTGGTTTGGATTGGTTCTGGTTGCAGGGGGAGGTGGGCTGGTAGTTTGGATTGGTGGGTTCGATTTGGATTGAGGAGTTTCTCTTTCAAGGGGTTTCATAGGGCTAGCGTTCGCAGGCTTTGCAAGAAACCACAGCCTCCCCAATAACCCAGGAAACAAGGGGCTCCCTTTTCCTCTTTTTTTGGTTGTGTCAGGCCTGGCACCTCCTAAAAGAAGTGATGGGTTCCTCAACTTTCAAAGTAATGCCCAAGCCTGGCATGTGCGGCAAACAGGATGATACTGCTCTGAACAAATAGACAACGCCATTCAAATACATTCAAAGCCAAACAACAGCAAGTTCAAGTACGTCCCGTTGGTGTCCCTTCAAAAGCACCAAACCAAAGGTACCTCAAAGAAAAGAAGACGAGCACCCGTATGTCCAAAACACCTGCGGAGGCACGCGTGCGCCCTCCATTTCGATCCGAGGCTCGAAGCGCCGGGCGCCCTCCGCCAGGTGGTAGCTGGATGGGGAGGTCCAGTGCGCTGAGACGTGGTCCAGCATGCACGGCTCACCCACCAGCTCCCACCTGGTCAAAAATACCGATTCCAATCGGGACCAGTTACTTGGAATAGATGAACCCCGATTTGTTGAGTTCATGGTGGACAAACCACCAACTGGTGCAGGAGGTTGTCTATTGCGGATGCTTCATGGATTTAATCTCAGTATTCCTCCCCGACCTGTGGTTGTGTTTCCCCCCTCGGTCGGGTCCTTTGGACGTCTTCCCAACAAGGTACAAAATGGGCCGAAACCCACAAAAAACATATCCTAGACACCAGCTTGAGGTAGACCCCAACTTTTCCTGTGAGGATTTGTATTTTGCATTTGTGTGGCGTTGATTGTTCTTGGTTTAATGCTTCCGGTTGGTTTCCTCGAGTTTCTGCTGCATGTTCGATTAGCATGACAGGATTGTGTTTGATGTTAGTTGGCCTGGTTATTTTCAATTTCTTTGCATTTCACCAAAACGCAGGCATGGCCGGCACTTCTTAAATGGAAATCATGAGGGACCTTTCTGGGCATTCATTATTTCCATTTGCAACCAAGTGAAACCATGGGAAGTGTAGAGCAATGGGCCCGCTTTTACTTTCATGGGGACCGCCACGCACTGATCGGGGGGAGGGGGGGGGTTCTCAGAAAGGAACATGTCAACGCTACACATTCAGAACCCAACCTATTTTGAGGGCTGCCCAGGACAGATCCTTGCAGTCTAGGAATGGGACCTTCTTGCCTGTTGAATCAGGTGCCCAAGGAAAGCACCGAGCAAAGACAAGACGTGAACATGAAAGAAGGAATCGTTTCTGCGTTTGTTAACACAAAGTCCAAAGTATTTTGAGATTGCGAATATGTGAGAGCTCAAAGCCTGTTGGCTGTTGGCCAAGATGGTTACAAAGGTTCACGCAGGCGACGATTCAGTCCTGACATGCCCCTTCCAGCCCTTCTGGAAAAATGATGGGTCCCACCGGTAACTGACAAGCGAACCAAACTCAAAGTGGCATCCACCTTTCAACTGACCCCAGCCCGACCCTGGTAGACAAAGGGTCAAAAGAACTCAACAAACAAAAATGGAAAAAGGGCTGGATTGGTCGAAAACTCACCTACCAGGGAAACTCAGCTAGCTTCTGCCCAAACAAGCAAAAAGGACACCTACTGTGCATGGACAAAATCCATTTCTCACCAGGATAATTGTCAACCAGCATTCATAGGGGTTTCATCCACATGCTTCTGCCTCCCCCAAGGACCTGCCGCTCCGCGCCAAGCCGCTGGCAGTCTCCGCGCGCGTAGAGCAGCCCTGTGCCCCTGGGCCCCCGCAGCCACTTGCGCCCCGTGGCGCAGGCAAAGTCGCAGCCCAGTCCTCGGCGCCCGGAGAAGGGGCGCCGCTGCTTTTTGGAGGGCAGCCCCCCGTCTTCTTCGTTTTTGGCGGAAAACCAAAAGGCGACCCCACCATTTTTTGGGGGTTTGTTGGTTTTCGTTGGTTGCTGGGGGGGGGGGGCCTTCTTGCGGCTATGAATTGGAATAGGGAACCCCTGAACTGAGGTTGGTGTATATAAATCGCCTGTGTGATGTCCACCATGATCCTATCTTGTCATGCCCCTGTTCAGGCTGCAAAGAACATTGCCCGCTAGGCAACAGGAACACAATGTGTAGATGCGTATGTTTGCTGCCAGTGGAACCGAAGATCCTTTGGTCAACAGCCTTTTGGCCCGCTAAATGATTTGGAAAGGATTGCAGAAAAACACACGCGCACACACATGAAACCAGGTACCAGGTAGCAGAACCGCCTAGAACCAATAAGATCTGAGAGTCGGCGCAGGTCGACGGGCATCTGGCCAATGGTCTGGCAGGTGTCCAGCAGGAACACCGCCTGCCCATTTTGGGCTCGACCAAAAGGCCAGGGTTGACCGGCGGCTTCCCTCCAAATGGCGCGTGGGATTGGTTTGGAGGTGTTCCGAGCGTGGTTTCCAATTTACCCGCTACAAGAACCGTGGGCTCAAATCCCAACGTCGCCAATCCAAACCACCAGCTAAGGGTTACCCGAGATTGTAATTTTGTTGTTGAGGGGCCTGATAACCATTTACAGATTCAGATGTTCCAAATTGTCATCTTCCTGAAGGAACTTCATGAATTCAATTTGGGCTTGTGTTTTTGAGTTGTTTGGAAGGAAACCCAAAAAGGAAAGCCACCCTCTTTTTTTCCCTGGGGGGGGGGGGGGGGGGGTCTTTGCAAAACCCGGCAGATTCGCAGTTTGAGAAACCAGAGCTTCCTTGCTAATTAACAGAGTAGCCATGTCCGAGGGCTCGAAGCTCGAACCTTGATATGAATAACTCAATCACGGGGCCTGTGTCTTGCAGACTGGTCAAGTGCCCCCGCCCCGATTCTCTGAAGCTGACGTCCTTTCCAAAGGAGCCAGCTTAACTACTGTTGTCGGCATGTACAATGATAAGGAGGATAGAAAGAATGGGTACGGAAAATGCTGTTGGATTTATGGCTTGATTCTTGGGGTTATCGTGTTTGGAATGACGGGGCTTCAGGTAACTCCGGTAGATCAAAAACCAGTTCGTGTCTGCGATCTGAGATCTGACCTCTGCGGAGTTTGTCCCACAAAGAGTCCGACTGCTTTTCGAAGACCGCTATGAGACTTTGTTTGGGGGTTTGGATTGGTGATTTCGGCATGAGAACTCCTGGCTCTTGCGAGGCAAATGGAGAACCCCCCCCCCCACCGATCCAAACCGCCAAGTGGGAAGCGGGCACGGTTCATTCTTCGCCCCGAAATGTGAGACGTTTGCACGGGGAAGACCCACTCAGTCTGGATCGTTTTGCGGAATGAGTTTGTGTGTTTTGGTGTGCGTGTGTGAAACCCACTCTTGCCCGAAGCGGATTTGTTCATCGACCCCTTAGTGAAATCGTGAGGGCAAAATATTAGCTCTGGTCTGAGTTGCTTCCCCATAAAAAGGCAGAAAAACCGTCCTTCTAGAGGAGTCTGACTTTGGGACCCCCTCAAACATGGAACCGTTAGCCCAATGTTCCTGGTGGGTTCCATCGCCTGGTGCCTCCTGGCCACCTGGCCAACTGCTTCCGCCGGCTGCACCTTAGATTCAAATCAGAGCCCAGTGGTTTGGAGGCAGTTCAAATCCCCTGCCTGGCACAAGCTCAACGGGTCCAAACCCCAAATGGGTTGGAACAAATGGGGTCTGTTCGGAACCCGTCGAGTCCGGGTCCCCCTATCACCATACCGAAAAAGACATGTTTTCTACCATGTTTCTCAGCATGGGCTGATTTGCTCCATTCAAAGCCACCTAGCACCCCCCACCGCACAAAACATCCCCCCCCCCAAAAAAAAGAGGAACACCCCGTTTCTCTCAGAAACATAAAAACCTTCCGCCACCCCCCCAAAAACCGAGACTCGGCCCTCGTGACGCTGAAAAACGTCACATCTCCGCCGAAGCCGCGGCGCCACCGAGGAGTTGGTCTGCAGGTGGCACAGCGCCACCAGCGCCCGCCCCGTCCTCGCCGCTTGGAAGGCGACAAGCTCGGCCTCCAAACGCTCCACGTCCACCCGGCCCTCGGAAGGCAGACGTGGCGTCCGGAGCTGCCAGCTTCCCCAAAGGGACCGAAAAATAGACACGCACTTTGCCTCACAAACAAAGAAGAGCGGAAGATAGGTAAACTAGATAAAGATAAAGGACAAAGAGCAAGAGAAAGACAAGATATAGAGATGAAGACAAAAGATAAGGAGAACAAAACAGAAATAGAAAGAGAAAGAGAAAGAAAAAGAGAAAGATAATTAAACAAAATACACACCCAAACCAGCTAAGACCAAAGCCAAATTCGAAAACCCTCTTGAACACGCAGAGACGGTCAACAGGTTCGGGCCACTTCTCTGTTGAAACCTGCCCACGCAAAGGTTTCGATGATGGCTGGTGCTCCCACATTTCACGGGGACAGCAGTGAGGTCTTTGGGGGTTCTCGCAGAAAGCCGCGCTTCACTGAGTTCATCAGAAAGTACATGTGTCACAATAGGGAACACCACAATTGTGTGCTCCTTGGGGTCTCCCCTTTGAACCCAACCCAAAAAGGCTCCCCCCCCCCCCGCTCTCGCCGGCAAAAAAAAAAAAAAACATCTCTTGGGGCCTCGGGAAGTCCAGCCTGGACCTTGACATCACCGCTGAGTTTTCATGTCTTGAGTCCAAACAAAATATTCATGCCCAAATGGGTTGACAATTGAACACCAAACCTTTCGCCCAATCGAAAGAATCCTCTGCCCCTGTCTCTCTCAGTTGCAAGTGCGTCCGGCAGTTCGAGTTTTGCTCTGGCAAACATATTATATTATGCTTTCCCGAAGGCACAAAGGAAGGAGAGAAAGTCGCTCTTCTCAAACGGGGGTTGGGGAAGCGTCTGTGGAAATGTTCGGAGCGACCAGCATAAGTTTGATGTGCCAACTGTTCAGACACATACGTTTGAACTGATCAGAACACGAAACCCAGCAACAACTTAAACTCCCTAAACCTCAAGATTCTTTCTCAAACAAAACACAAGTGTCCCACCCCCTCCCCAACCTGCCCAAAATGGAACAGCCCCCTGCGCGTTTGCCGCTTTCACCCTCTGGTTGCCAAATAGATCAACCAAAAACAAACACCTTCAATTGCTGCAAAGTGGATTGTGTGCATCCATCCTACTTGGGTATCTCAAAAAGTGTCATCCGTCGTTTTCCTTTTGGTCTCCCTTTAAAGCGACCAAAAACCGCCACGCGCTCCGCGCCTGGCGCATGGGCAGCACCTCCAACTGCACACCGAAGCGCCGTTTGGCTTGCAGCAAGGCCACTGCGTTGCCCGCATACTCGCTCTCCCAGCAGAAGATGCCTCGGGCAAAACGCGGCGTTTCGTTTGGCCGAAATGGGTACACAGAAAACAACAGGGAGTATGTACAAGCAAGGGGAAAGGTTGTGCTAGGATCAAGGGATATGACATATTAGACATATTTTGTTTCGGCTTGCTTGGCGTTCTAAAGAACACACAAGATCCATGGGTGTTTTGCTAATGGCGACCGCCTCTTTCAACTGGTTTCAAAGAATCGGACAGGGTCGCCCAAATGGTGAGCTCCCAATTGTTGGGAAACACCCGAGTGGGGTACGCCTTTGGGACCGCAACGCCAAAGCTTCTCTTGATTTGTTCATGTGACCGCAAAGTGGCTCGGGGTCCTGTTTGGGGGTTGCGAAAAAGAGAGAGGGGCCTGTTTTTGGTTACCAAACGATTGGCTTTGGCGAATCTCGTGCCTGGGGAATCTGCCATCCTCTTCACGACACATGCGTCTTGAGGGCATCCCCAAAATGATGTCAGGACTAGTCTTCCTGAAAAACAAACACCCTACAAGGCCCAAAAAACACCCAGTCCCCCAAAAAGGGTGGTGACTCAAAAAGGCGCAAATGAAAAGTGGCGGTCCTTTGCGGTGAGGGGCGGTCGCCAGGCCGGAAGTCCAGCGAAGCAAAGGCCTCCAAGTGCCGCTGTCGTGAGGTGAAGGGGCGGGGGGAGTCTTCATTGGGGTTCTCGTTGTTTGGTGGACCCCCCCCCCAAAAAAAATAAAACGCAAAGCACAATTTGTGGTGGTGTCCTTTTGGTTGCCCTGTAAAACCACCAAAAATTGGGTACCCTCAACAAAAGACACACGCAACTATGTTCCATCATCGTTCTTGAATGGCCTGAATTGACTCGCCGGAAACCGTTCGGCTTGTGATCCTTTACAAAAACCAAGGGCAAGTCTGGCCCCACAAAGCTTCATGACCAACAACTCTGCAGGGTGAAAGTGGATAGCGATGTTTAGTTGTCCGTAACTAGTAAAACTGAAAGAACACACGTGGGGCAATGGAAAGCCGTCTACGTTCGCCCAAACTGTAGCTTTGTCTTTCACTTCTGAAGGATTCAAAACATTTCGTCGGGCATGCCACCAAGCAGGTCTCAATGTCGACTCTTCATCTTGTCTGCAGCATCTTGGGACGCAGTTTTTTGAACATGTGCTTTGTTCCTTCTCCATGGCCTTGTCGATCACTAATGGAAGAAGGAGGCAACCCCCCATTTTGGTGTGTCTTTTCTTGGGGAGCCCCCTTAAGATTGTGGCGTTCCTTTTTGGTTTCCCCTTAAAGCCAAACCCAAAAACCCCTTCCACTGGTGGTTTTAAAGGGACACCAAAAGGAAACCCGCAAGTGCAAGGGGTTCCCAAAACCAAAACGAGCCCATTTGGCCATGGGTCAAAACCCCGTACCCCCAGTGAACATCCCAATCCCCACTACAATAGGTTCTAAAATGGGTGGTGAATTCACCTACCCCAAAATGGGATCCCAAAACGGTTTTGACAGCCACAGCCATTTGGTTCCCGCGCGCTCAAACCTTTCGTCGCGCCTTGGCCCAGGCGCTCTGCGCGGACTCCGTGACCGCCAGCTCCGCCGGGTCGCAGTTCAGCAGCGCGGCCGCCGCCGTCTCGCGGGGATTGCGCGGGGCTGAAGCCACTCGCCCCTTTCGACCTAAAAGGCTCACCTTTTTCGGCAAGATGGTGTGGGGGTTGGGATTCATGGGGTCTGAATAAGGGCCAACCGTTTTGGGACCTGTACTAAAAGTGAACAACTGAGGAAGCGCTCTAAATCTCTGAATCAGAGCGATTGCGCGTGAGAATAAGAACTCCAACATTTGAAACAAGGAATCCCCAAGTAGCCTTCATGGGCGAGCTTGTTTGTTTATCCCCACATGGGCTCGATATTCGCCGTCCAGATTGCATGTGTGTGTGTGTAGATGTTATGCAAATCGAGTTTGACCCCAAAACGACGAACCAGGAAGCGAAAAATCTCGAAACCAACCTGCAATTTGTGATGCAGACCAACGACCTCAGTATTTGTGGACGGCTGTGAAAGGAAACTAGAGGGCACCAAGAGCTGCCGAAACTCGTTGGATCTTGAAAACAAACCCAGACCTGTAGCCGCTAAAAAGAGCACCCGATGAGAGGGGGCTGGAAAGGGAAACCGCGCAGGGTCAAAGATGAGCATCGGCTTTGGGTACGCCTCGCTGTTGCCACTGATCAGGAAGGGAAAAATGGAAACTAGTTGTCGGCGTTGTCATGGGAAGCCCGGACGAATAAAACCCCTCTTTGATTCTGATTTCGGGGGTGTTCCCTGTTTGGGGAGGGCCCCTATTAAGAGGTTTGTCCGGGGTCGACATTACAGGAAGCCGTCCCTTCCTGGCTCCGTTCAAGGATTTCCAGAGAAATATTCCACATCAAGCCCAGCGGGTGGTAGTTGGAATGTTTGTATCAGCAAATCGGTGCTTTCCGGCCACCATCATTCCATCCAACAATCTGTAGGTCATTGTGTGGAGGATCAATACTTGGAGGCATCCTAATCACGAGAGAACTAGGCTATCTCGAACTTCTTGGTTTGGTCGTGTCTGTATTTGCACATGTACCAAAATATTGCCCTCATGGTTGCTGGCCTCGTCTGAAGGATTTATTTCTCGCAAATCGTGAGAGGGTACTACAAGCGACTATTGCGACCGACCAGATTGCTTCTCAAAAACAAAACTGGACGGACACCAAATCCTCATGAACCTGATGTCCACCAATAACCCCCAATGAAAAGAACATACCCGTGTCAATGTGCATGTGGACGGTCCTAGCAAACCGTGAACTGGTGGTCAGAAGCAGGGGAGCTGGGGATTACGTGCTCACAGACTCTCTACCAATGGAACAAGGGCCTAAACAAATTGGTCATGAGTCATAGGATTCTCCTTCTCAAACCCTCCCGCTTCCAAGTGCCTTCCCAGGATAAAATGCACAGGCTTTTGGAGAACTCCAGGAGATGGGCGAATATGTTGGGAACATATCTTCCGTCCGGGGTCCTTTTGCCACCTTGGAACTTGGGATGGTGATCCATGCATTTTGTTTGCCCAATAAACGGGCCCTGCCAAGCACAGCGTAGGTGGACTCAAATCCCCTTGCCTTCGCGTCGCACTCAGCAGTCCTGACCTCCTGTGCGCGGTAGGCGCCCATCCTCGCGAGTCAGGTTTGTGTGCTTGGAGTTTCCCAGCCAAGTCGGACGCAACCAGCCTGAGTCTCATACTGATCATTCGCTGTATCTGGATCCTGGATTCAACAAACCAGAACAAGGGGTGCCGCATTGTCATTGGTGAGGTCGCACCCAGCCCCTTGGTGAGGCTTTGTGTTTGTGCCCGTGGTTGCGTCATGTCTGTTCTCCTTTCCTCTAGCAGCCGTGTGTACGCTGTACCGAGCAATCTAAACGTCCACCAGCTACAGCTCAGCTTAGCATGCGGATATCGGGGGTCAAAGAGCTCGCATAGATCTTGCGGCTCCATCAACTCAGTTCTTGCACGTCCTGCCGCAAGCTATACAAGCAGGGCTCTCCCCAAAGGCTCTTGCCAGCTGCCACGTTGGAGCCGCTGCGTGTCTCATGTAAGTTGGGGAATTTGTTGACGCGCCCATGAAGCTGCCTGCACGTTTGATCCTTCCAACAAGGGTCCTGACGTCAATCTTCTGCGCGCCGCCCCCCATATGATTTGTGACTTGAAAATACCTTCTACCACCCCCTCTTGACAAGTGGAGGGAGAGAGCGCGAGAGAGGGAGAGAGACAGAGAGAAAGAGAGAAAGAGAGAAAGAGAGAAAGAGAGCAAAAGAGAAAGAGGCCCAACGCTGGCGCGCGCCACCAAAGAGAAGGCAGGGCCAGCACACCAAGGCGGCGTGCCGCACGTGCAATCGCACCCGCTGCCGAAGAAAGGGCGGGCCAGGGCCCGCACGCGCCGCCGAAGAGAGGCAGGGCCAGCACGCCAAGGCCGCGGGGCCCGCGCGTGCAAACCGCACGCAGGAACAACACAAAAGACAGATGACCACTCGGCACCGCCCGCTACAAAAAGGAAGAACCAAAGAGCAAGAAAAGGAGAACAAAAGCAAGGACACGCGAGAGCAAAGGGGAGCAGCCAAACAACGAAAAGAAAGGGGCGAGAAGAAAGCACACGCAACAGGCAAGCACTCAAATAGTCATGGGTTGGTCCGCCCAAAGAACGGGTGAGGGCAGCCAAATCCCTCTCTCAGGCGCCCCTGAGCCTACGGACACGGCCCGTGACACAGCTCTGGGAGATGTCTAAGCCCTGCATGCTGGGCTGCTCCGAATATGCATTCAGAACACCCACGTCGACCAGCTGTTTTTGCAGGATTCCTGAGTGTAAAGCAAGTTAGCTGTTTCTTTCTTTGGTTTCCCACGGGCCAAACAGGACGCCCGGTTCGATTGCTTGATTTGGTTGTATCTTGCAAAATGGCGGCTTTCCTTTTCGCTTCCCTTTTAACTACACCAGCCACGCCCGTTTGAAGTCGGGCTTACTGGACCACTGGACTCCGAGCAGCTCTCTCTCCAGCTCCATCATCCCCACCACTGCATCGTGCACCTGCGAGGAGCCAACGCCAACCGCTCGCGCTCGCGAAGGGGCGGCTCCGGCTTCGGAAAGCTGGCTGCAGCTACTAACTCACATCTCCAGTGCTTCTGCTGAACAAATCCGAGGCTCAACGTGAGATGGCCACATCAAGCCAATGCAATCCAATCGCCAAGCATGGCAGTCGCATCACGCACTTCAAGCAGATTGAGCTCAATCAATAGATGAGGCCCAGGTGGTACCTTTGCCCAGCTTTTTGTTGAAGGAACGGCCACTCCTGAGAATTCGCTGCTCCTTGGTTCCTCCTGAGATGATGGTTAACCTGTCCAGATTCTGTGTTCATCCGCTTGCGAGAAAGGTCAGTAGTCACACTACAAGCACTTGCCGTCACATGTCTCAGCTGCGGATGGAAACTTCTCTTGCCGGGGATCTGCAAGGGGAAACCCCCCCAAAAAAAAACGCCTCCGAACTTCGAGGCCTTTTGTCTTCCGGCCTGACGTTTCTGGCAGTCGGATGGACCCCCCCCCTCCACCCCCACCGCACCTCCTGGGCTGCAGGGGACGCCCCGGCGGCGTTGAGGTGGATCCACCCACCCTGCGCCCATGGCTTCAGCCCCTTGCGCCAGGCCTCCAGGGCGACCCGCCGCATGGCGCTTGGAAGCGAGTGCTGCTGGGTCGGCCCTCTAAAGCCCGGAAATCTGGACAGCTTCATGCTCCATCCCAAATTGATGCAGAAAACCGGCTGCCAAGTGCAGCCGGTCAAAGAAGCCCGGAAGACACGCAACGGGTGATCATAGCTTTCCTGGCGGACAAGGAGCGCAAACAGCTGCGGATGCTCCTAATGTAATTCACCCATTGAAATGACAAGAAGAGCAGCCGCCGGATTGCTCCAAACAAAAGATGCCGGGTTTTGACACAATGAACACAAGCCAACATGATGCACGTCACAGATCACAGGGTGTGTGTGTGTGTGTCTCAAAATACTTAGGCCCCCGGAGAAAAAAAAGGTGGTGTTCCTCTTAGTTTCTCATTAACTCAAACTGAAAAAGGGTGCCCTCAACAAAAAAAAATGTATCTTAAGTTGTGCTGCGATGCAGGGCAATAGTAACTTCAAGGACTGAGCCAAGAACGGCTTGCCGCGCGCAAACCGTGGTCGAGCACTTCACAAAACCAGCTGTGGCCGGTGGTCCAGCTCTCGACATTTCAGAGCACCCTCATTCGGGTGGTGTTCCTCTTGGTTTCCCTTGAAAAGCCAAAAAACAGAGTACCCCCAAAACAGGACGAGCCATGCCTTTCTTCGATCCATCTTTCCGTCTCCCAAAGCCAGCAACAGGCTCCCCGCTTCGCTTTCGCGGCCGAGGGCTCGATGAGCACCTGAACGTTGATCTCATCCGGCTTCCCCGAAAAGGATTTGGCTGGGCAAATGAAACCACCAAAAAACGCGGGCTTTTTAGTCCGTGTCTGTTTTTTCTACCAGGGCAAGCCAATTGGGGTACGCATTTTGACCCACAGCCATTTGAGTTACCGAGCGGTCAGCAGATGGATCGTATCCCAGAAAAGGTAAGACGAAGGTTGCGGGAAGATTGCACCCAACGTGTCAAGTGGGTCATTCCCTACTGGGCACCGGCAAGCTTTTCCGGATCCCCCGATCTGAAGGGCCCAGTAACGGACTTGGGGTTGCAAGGAAAGGACATCAGTGAAGTCTGAAAGCCACAAAGGATCCGGGCAAATCCAGTACTTACACCTCCAGCACGCAGTACAACCTTTAAGGTGCAGCATTCGGCAAACCAGGTAAGTGTGGCAATCCACCAACTCGATGGAAGTGATCCTGAAGACAAAAAGCCTTCATCAATGAGCTCATCGCCTTTTGAACTCCGAAGCTTTTGTCAAACATGGACGCCTTTAGGTTTGCAGTCCGACGCATATCCACACAGCCATGCTGTTACAAAAAGGCACCTGCTTGGGCGCTAAGGCTCCAGTCCAACACTGCCAACGCGAGGCATCGATTTGGGTCTCCAAAACATGGTTGGTTCCTGGGGGTTCCCTTTCGACCCCTCCAAAAAGGGGAACGCTCAAAAATCGACCGCGCCCTGCAACCTCACTTGAGCGCCCGACTGGGAAGGGCCCTGCATTCATGACATAGCTGGGTGCAGGGTCCTCGAACGAGCTGTGCCCTGGGTTTTTGAGGGGTGTTGCCCAGCTCGGACCTGGAAGTATCAGGTGAACTAATGTCCTTGGGGCCACTAAAAATGGTTGGCAAAGAGGGGAACCTCAAAGGTCGAAAGGCCG